GTGCTCCTCAGTGTGCTGTGTTGCTAGCATCTTTGGGTTATTAATTTTGTGTTTTCACATCTTATGTCTGTAAAATGCCCATCTGAGTATGTGCATGAGATATTCAACACTTTAAAATAGGCTTTATAGGGCCCCGCATGGTAGCCTAAAGTCCTCGCCCTGCACGTGCCAGGATCCCATATGGGTGCCAATTCTAATCCCGGCAGCTCCACTTCCCATTCAGCTCCCTGCTTGTGGCCTGGGCAGGCAGTCAAGGATGACCCAAAGCTTTTGGACCCTGCACCTGCATGGGAAGCTCTGGGCTCCTGGCTTCGGACTGGTTTAGCTCCGGCCGTTGTGGCCGCTTGTCTCTCATCCTCTCTGTATATCTGATTTTCCAATAAAATTAAATAAATCTTTAAAAAATAAAATTGCCTTTATATTGTATGATTTTGCCCAACTGTGCATGAATGTAAGTGTTCTGAGCACTTTTAAAAAAAAGAGTTTTCTTTTTTAATTTGAAAAACAAAATCACAGAGAGAATGAGAGAGAAAGGGAGATACTCCATCCACTGTTTTACACCCCAAATGGCTGCAATGGTTGGGGTTGGGCAGGTCTGAAGCCAGGAGACTGGAGCTTCATATGGGTCTCCCACTTGGATTCAGGAGCCCAAGGACTTGGGCCATCCTCTGCTTCTCTCCCAGGAAATTTAGCAGAGTTTGATCAGAAGTGAAGCAGCCAGACTCAAACTAAACTAAAGTCATATGGGTGCCATATGGGAAGCCAGCGCTGCAGACAGAGGCTTAACCCATGCTGCCGTCCCCTCTGAGCACATTTAAGGTGCTAAGCTATGGCTAAGCCATGATGTTTGGTACATAAGATGTACTAAATGCATATTCGGTGTATTGTATTTTTAATATACAATGAGCTTATTGGGATATAACAGTATCATAAGTTAAGGAGCATCTATATTTAAAAAGAAGAAAGATGTCAAATTAATAATCTGATCTTTCATTTTAAGAAATTAGGAAAATAGAAAACAGTCCAATACAAACAGAAGGAAAGAAATTAATAAAAAAAATACACTGGAAATAGTGGAATAAAAAAATGGAAAAAGAATAGGAAACTAACGAAACAAAAAAAGGTTCTTTTAAAAGATCAACAAAATTGACAAATTTATAGACTAATAAAAAAGGAAACTCTAATAGCATTAGAAATAAAAGAGAAGATATGACTACTCCTTCCACAGAAATAAAAAAGAATTCTGTAAGAGAATATTATGAACAACTGAATACCAACAAATCAGAAAGCAAGATGAAAAATTTCTGGAAAGACACAAATACCAAAATTGATTCAAGAAGAAATGGAAGACCTACACAGATATATAACAAGTGAAAATATTGAACTAGAAGTTTAAAAACTTCTGCAAAAAAAGTGGCCATGACCAGTTGTTTTTACCTGTCACTTCTATCTAAATTTAAGAGAATTAATACGAGTCTTCCCCAAAATAGAAGACAATCAATCATTCTTCATAGAGTGCCATTCATTCTATGAAGCCAGTATCATTCTGACAGCAAACCCAAAGACATCATAAATAAGCTACAGATCAATACCCTTACAAATACACATACCATAGTCCTTAGCAAAATATGAGCAAACTGAATCTATACCATGTAAAAAAGAACTTAGACCACGACCTGGTGAAATTTAGGTCAGGCACATCAGATTCCACATATAACACATATGACCTGTGGGTAAATCAACTTCCACTAAAGCTAATTACTGGAATATAACTTATTCATAGAACAAAGGAAGACAGCCACATGATCATGTCAGCACAGCCAAAAAATTGGCTACGAAGTACAATCTCCTTCCATCATAAAAACATTCAGGCAACTGGAAATAGTGATATTAATCTGCATGTCAGCAGCAATTAGCAGATGTCAGAGGCACCATTCTAACCACTTAAAATGTATTAAAATAACTTAATTCTCACAACAACTCTATGAGACAGGAACTATTATTATGTATATTTTCAGATGGGTAAATTGAGGCAAATAATGTTATATAACCTTTCCTATAATAAGTTATAGGGCTAGGATCCCCATATAAAATTTTTTGCTACAGGGTTCATGCTATTTTTTAAAAAAAATTTTAAAAGATTTGTGTATTTTTTTAAATTGCAAAGTCAGATTTACAGAGAGAAGGAAAGACAAAGACCTTCTGTCCACTGGTTCACTCCCCAAATGTACACAACTGGTCAAAGCTGAGGCGATCCAAGACCAGGAGCCAGGAGCTTGTTCTGGGCTCCCCATATGAGAGCAGGGTCCCAAGGCTTTGGGCCGTCCTCGATTGCTTTCCCAGGCCACAAGCAGGGAGTTGGATGGGAAATGGAGCAGCTGGGATATGAACTGGTGCCTGCATGGGTTCCTGGCATATGCAAGGTGAGGACTTCAGCCACTAGGCTATTGCGCTGGGCCCAAGTTCATGCTATTAATCATGTTTTGCTATAACCTCTTGTAGACTAATAATATTGATAAACAAACTTTCCTTAGAAGCAATTATTGATGTTCATGTGTAAACATGAATTCATACCCTTAATATAATTCATAATTCATACACTTAATTCATAACCCTGTTAACTTACATCAGTGACTATAATTTATGATATAGGCAAGAATTTATAAAATTAACATCAATGGTTATTTAATGAAGCTAGTAATGTTAGTTTAATACTGACATTTAATTGTACATTAAGATGTATAATTGGTGATGACATACATAAGTAAACAATGTGGAATAATTGGTAAAATTTTTCAAAATTAGTTGTAAACTTTGATGGCCTTAGTTATAATGATTCAATGTCTAGCCACAGACTAAACTGACTCATAGCTATGGTACTCAGAATCTGCATTCGTAATCAGTTTTATTTTTAGCACTGATCTATAATAGCATTTTTTGAATTTTAACCACATTAGTAATAATTTCTATTAGGAACTATAAGATAATTCAAAACAGGTATTCAGAGTTTATGTTATCAAACCTAATTTAACATTGGTAAAAATCTGCATTTGTGACAACAGATTTCTACTGACAATTTCTTTTAGTAATTACAGTTTAATTGATAGCATAAGTATTAATGATTTATATGGGCTATTTGAACCTATCACATTGGTAAAAAAAATGTCATACTAGTTATGTTATGGTATTAGTAACAGTTTCATTTCTAATACCAGGGATAACATAATAATTCAAAAATGTATTTATAATTTAATATTAAAACATAATTTGTAATGTTATGGTAATACTTAAAATAGTATCTATAATCTTAGATGACATTAGTAATGATTATTTGTTTTTTCATAGGAACTATATATTAATTAGTTATGTTGGTACTCATCACCTACATCAGTGACAATAACTTGTATTTACAATTAGTTGCAATACTTGTGATTATGTTTTATGAAAATAACAATTAATGTAATATACTTTATTCATAGAATAATGAAAATTTAATTTCCTTCACTTTCTATTTTCTATTCACAAACAATTTACTTTTTGCATTGCTACTAGTAATTTTTTATTAGCAATCTTAATTTGAAATATAAGTAAAATAAGGGATATTTGATAATGCTAGCAATAGCTATTTAATTTCTCGATGTAAACATATAATCTGTCTCATTACATTGATTCTGTTAGCTTGATTTAAACATTCATGGGCAGGGGGCTGGCCAGTGGCATAGCAGACTAATTCTTTGCCTGTGGTTACCAGCATCCCATAATGATGCTGTTTCTAGTCCCAGCTGCTCTACTCCTGGCCTAGCTTCCTGCTAATTGCCGGGGAAAGCAGTGGAGGATGACTCAAAGATTCAGGACCCTGCACCCATGTGGGAGACCTTGGAAGAAGCTCCTGGCTCTCAGCTTTGGTCTGGCCCAGCCCCAGCTACTATAGCCATTTGGGGATTGAACTAGCAGATAGAAGATCTCTCTCTGTCTCTACCCTTCTCTGTCTGTAACTCTGAATTTCAAGTAAAGCAAATAAAGCTTAAAGAAACTGATTTTGAGGGTCTAGCATTGCAGCACAGTACGTTAAGTTGCTGCTTGTAACACTAGCACCCCCTATTGGAGAGCCAGCCATACTGGAGTGCTGGTTCAAGCCATGGTTACATTGCTTCCAATTTAACCCTTGGCTAACATGCATGGAAGGCAGGGGAAGAAGGTTCAAATATTAGAACCCTGCCACCCATGAGGGAGTTTTCTTTCTTTTTTTTTAAAGATTTATTTGTTTTTGTTGGAAAGTCAGATATACAAAGATGAGGAGACACAGAGTGGAAGATCTTCCATCTGATGATTCACTCCCCAAGAGGCCTCAATGGCTGAAGGTGAGCCAATCCAAAGCCAGGAGCCAGGAGCCAGGATCCTCTTCTGGGTCTCCCATGTGGGTGCAGGGTCCAAGGCCCTGGGCTGTCCTCAACTGCTTTCCTAAGCCACAAGCAGGGAGCTGGATGGGAAGCAGGACCACTGGCATTAGAACCAGCACCCATATGGGATCCTGGCATGTTCAAGGCGAGGACTTTAAACACTAGGCTACTGTGCTGGGCATACGTGGGAGTTTTTGGCTCCTGACTTCAGCCTAGCCTAGAGCAGGTTGTTTTGGCCATTTGGGAGGTGAAACAGTAAATGGAAGATCTCTCTCTTTCCATCTCACTCCCTCTCTTTTGCTCTGCCTGTCAAACAAGTAAATAAGTCTTTAAAAACAAAATTGCATTTTTAATACTGATGAGAATAAACAATATGGGCACCACGATTTAATCAATATTGGGATCTGTGATCAAGTTCACACTAGTAGCCATAAAGTAACTTCATGGCATTCCTTGACTTCTATCACAAAGTAACTTCAGACTTGCACACTTTACACCAACAGTACTGTTTGATACAACACTAAAAACATATTCATTGGTAACATTACCACAGTGATCATGACTCGTCCCTCAGGCCCACTGTACTTCCTCTGGACTCACCATCTCTTTATGGTTGGGGTAGAAGGTCTGGTCAATTAGTGGAAACTCTTCTGTCCCCAGTTTCTTGTGCAGCCGAACCATCTGTGCAAACTGTAAAACCAAGGGAGGTAGGTCAGCGAGTCATTTCCTTGAAAGGAATCTTCACATCCCCAAACATTCTCACTTCGCAAAAATGAGAGTGATGCAATGCGCCCGTGTGTGTGCCTGAGCCCACAGCCTCCTTCTTGGCACTTACCACCCAGGGCTTGTCACAGAAGTTGTAGACAGAATGCAAGGAGTTCACACTGGGGATTCCAGCATATTGCAGCCCGATGACCAAACTGCGGTAGTCTCCATTGCGTGCCATGCTGAAGGCGTGTTGGCGGATCAGCACAAAGTCTGGCTTCAGAGACCTGGGATGGCAGGGGTAGCAGGGTGGAGGGTCTCCCAGAAGCTGCCCCTTCCCATGGAACAAAGAACGAGTTTCCAAATCTCCAACATTCCCAGAAGTTGCAAAGTGGTATCTTCTCTCACACACACAGCTGTTCCTTCTGCCTTTACATCCTTCCTGTCTGTTCTCCATCCTTTGACCTCTTTTAAGCCTGTCCTACCTGCTCCCCTCCATACTGAGCTCAGTTTATAACTGTTTCACTCAGTTCTGAAAGTTTTCTGGTCACAATGTCTGAGACCACCAACTAGGCTCTCAAAGTGTACCTGCTCAGAATAAATTCCAGCTTCAGGACTTCCACATGGGCTGGTCCCTCTGCCTGGATCATTTCCCTCCAGATATTTGTGTAGGATAGTTCAGACCCCATTGCCATCCAACAACCCCTACACATGACTTACTGTTTTATTATTTCTTAGAACTTCTACACTTCCCTATTAAGAACTATTGGTTGTAAGCCACAAGAATGTAAGCTTCATGAGGGGACAGGGGTTGTTTGTTCATTTGGTTTGTTTTACTCTATTTTTTTTTAATTTGTTTTATGCATGACTCAGCATGTTGAACAGCTCCTGGTACAAAGTAGGTACTCAATAAATAGTTGTGGAGTGTAAAGTGCCAAGAGACTCAAGTGGCACACAGTAGATGCTTAACAAATGTTTGCTGAATGCATAATTGAAAAGTTTGGCATGTGGTCTGTTGTGACCCTTGATTCTTCTTTAAAAGGAAAGTTATCTCCCCATGGTCTGTTCTGTGGTTAAGTTCTTGAGCACTGAGGGGAGGCTGGGGTAAGTGGGAAATCTCCCCTAGCTCTAAAGAGTATTTCTGCCTCTCACATAACACCAAGGTTCCATAATACCAAGATTCCCTTTCTGTACTCACCGCACAACCTTAACCCCATTCCGAAGAACTTCCATATCCACAGAGAACCCGCCATTGGCATGAGCCACAAGGTTGAGATCAGAGAATTCAGCCTGGGAAAGAGAAAATCGGTGATTAACCCATATCATACAGAAATGAGCATTCAGTTTGTAATCTGGGTAATTGAGCCCCCCTGGGCCACCTGTCCCCACTCACCTGCTCTACTTTTATGTCAATTTCTCCATGGATCTTTTTCCCTTTGAAGTATTTGGCCCTGCAGAGGCAAGTAGATTATATCTGTCAAATGCTCAAATCTCAGGCAAGAAAACAAGACCCAAGGCAGCCCCGTGACCTCGGTGCATTTTCAGTGCCACTGTAGAAAACATAAAGTGCTTTATCGTTGGATACCTTGGGAAGATCAGTAGTAGATGGTGAAACGTGGCCTTTTTATAACCCTCACAGCAGTGGGTAAAGATGGAAGTACACTTCAAACCACAAAGTGTATCCTTAAACCACAGAGAGATGATGTATCCAAAAAGCTGCTTTGTAGCATCAAACTGCTGTTATAAGTGCTTCTAAAAATGCATTTATTTAAGAAAGGAAGAGAAAGCAAGAGTGAGAGCGACAGAAAACATACTCTTCCCATATGCCAGTTTGTTCCCTCAAATGTCTACAATGACAGAAAGGTGAATAGGAAGCTGGGAACTCGATCCAGGTGTCCCATGCGGGTGACAGGAACGTAAATATCTGTGCCATCACCACTGCCTCCTAGTGTTTACGTTAGCAGGAAGCTGAAGTCAGGAGCTGGAGCCTGGAATCAAATTCAGGTCTCCTGGTGTGGGATGCAGGCATCCTAATCATGTGTTGACCGCTAGACTAAATGTCAGTCCCTTTATATGTATGAGGGGCAGGCTGACATTTCAATATATGTATGTAACATTCTTTAACAAAACATTTATCATCTCTTCTTTGGGAATATTTCAAATCTTCTCTCTCTTAAAAAAAAAAAAGATTTAATTTATCCATTTCCCCTCCTAGCTTCTAGTAACAACTGTCCCATGGAAATGCTCTGGAATACCTTCAGAAAATTGGTGGGTGCTCATAAGATTTGGGCATGGGGTGGAAGGGCAGGTGTTAAGGTATAGAAGGTTAAAGGCACAATTTGGGATGCATCTCATATCAGAGTGTTGGTTCAAGTCCTGGCAACTCCACTTCTTTTTTTTTTTTTTTAAAGAATTCACTTATCTTACATAGGATTCAAATGATTCTTATTTATTTATTTATTTATTTATTATTTTATTATATTGGAAAGTCGGATATACAGAGAGGAGAGACAGAGAGGAAGATCATCCGTCCGATGATTCACTCCCCAAGTGAGCACAACGGCCGATGCTATGCCGCTCTGAAGCCAGGAGCCTCTTCCGGGTCTCCCACTCGGGTGCAGGGTCCCAAAGCTTTGGGCCGTCCTCAGCTGCTTTCCCGGGCCACAGGCGGGGAGCTGGAAGGGAAGCAGGGCTGCCAGGATAGAACCGGTGCCCATATGGGATCCTGGGCGTGCAAGGCGAGGACCTTAACCACTGCGCCACCGCGCTGGGCCCGCAACTCCACTTCTGATTCAGCTTTCTGCTAATATGGCTGAGGAAGCAGCAAATGCTGGCTGGAGGGCATGAGCCCTGTTACCTACACAGGAGACCCACAGGGAGATTTGAGATCCTAGTTTTGGCCTGGCCCAGCACTGGTTGTTGTGGACATTTAGGCAGTGAACTAGTGGTTAGAAGATCTCTTTCTGTCTCTCTCTCTCTCTCTCTCTCTCTTTCTCTGCTTTTCAAGTTAATGAAAATAAACATTTTAGAAAAGATACTGGATTGAGGTTGGTAAATGCAAAAGAATGACAGGGAGCATATGTACATTAGGGGCTGAGTTGCTCAGCCTTTTGGTGCCTGTGTGTGTCTGTGTGTGTCTGTTCGTGTGTCTGATCATCCCTCTCTGCTCTCGGGCCCGATCACAAGGAGGAACAGTCTCACCATGTATAGCTGTGTGCTGTGAGGGATGTACCATCCGTAGGTGGGCAGCTGGATGCTAATGGGAGAAGATTGAGCTGTGCAGGCTGGGTGGGGGTGGTTCTAAAGAGGCCCCAGCCAGCAATGAAGGAGGGGGAGAGGGAGGGATGCAGCTGGGGAGGAGGGAGGAGGAATAGGCAGCAGGCACACCATGAACTGCTATGTCATTGTTCTTGGGCTCGTCCCCAGCTGGGATTGCTTTCTAGTGGCTTCCTTCCCCACGCCCAGGACTCTTACTGCCAGCCTTCACAGAAGAAAGCTCATCCTCAGTCAGACTTTCTGTGGAAGGCAACAAGGTGAGGAGACCTACCAGGGGCACTGGTTATGGACATGCAAACAGTCATGGTCTGACACATACACTCATCAGGAATGGATCCTGGTATCTTCAGTGATATACACAAGAGACCACAAACGCAGCCACTAACACTTCCTCCCTCCCTCTTCCTTTACATCTCCTACCCCATCACCAGAATGAAAAGGGAATTTCAGATGTGCACCTTGCTTAGCTCTAAACAGATGATGTTTGTAGTTCACTGCTTTTCTCTGATTATAAACATCATGGATGCTGAATGTTATACTCAGGTCTCCTCCTCAGGCTCATTAGATTTTGAGGATAAGCTGCTAACAGCTCATCGTTGTGTCCCCATTGGGAACTGTCCTCTGTCACAGGGAACCACCTTGGCCAAGGTTACACCTTCCTTGGAGCCTATCTATCTGTGGGGGCACAGAGTCAGCCTTCAGCTCAATCTCGGCTGACTGAAAGGGTCATCCCACTCCTAAGCTCCTCTTGGGGTCACCTCTGAAATAACAACACAGCAAGCCAGCCTTTTCTGTGTTCTACTCTCCCCTCTCCTCACAGGTTCAAGGCACTTCCCGGCAGCCTTCCTTGCATGCAAACCCTTGCCTCAAAGTCAGCTGCTAGGACAGCACTGAAAACAGTGGACCAAAGAAATCAAATGCCAGAGACTCTGATGCAATTGTGGAGATGGGTCACTCAGTAACCAGATGGCCATGAGGCTCCATCAGCGGTGGGAGGTAGAGCCCCCTTAGGTGTGACATGCTGTAGCCACATGGGGCATTCTGCAGCACTGTGGGGATGTGGGACAAGCAGACTGTCACTTAAGCCATACGATCTGCCTGGGCCCCATGACCCAGGAGCAGGAAAAGCTGCTGTGTGGAATGTAGTCTACATGGGAGAATCACAGCACAGGCCCCTGAGGCTTTGGAACGGCCATGAATTTTTCTGCTGGTAGACTGTGAACAGGATTCTGGGGAAGGGAATGAGTCAGATGATGAAATATCCCTGGCACTGGAGAGGTATGAAGGCAATGGTAACTAGATTGTGGTGACTAGTTGCTGAGTGCTATTGATTAGCTGGCAAAAGACAGGATACGCTTGGTGAAAATTCACCAATTCCAGGCCAAATGTGAAAGCCAGAGACCTCCTTGGCTTCATGAAAGAAATCCCTGATCTCCTACCAGAGGGCAGACAGAAAGGAGGGCAAGGCTGAGGATTTAACTATAGGGGTGGGGGAGCTTCAGAGAGGGCTGAATTCTCAGGCTCAGCACATCTCCTACGCCATGCTCAGGATCCTAATAGGACATGAGTGCAATTCTGGGGCTTGTGATGGAGCCATCTAAACAGATGTGGCTAAATACTTACAGACCCATCTGAACGGACTAGATATGCAGAAGTAGGTTACATCCCTCTTGTTAAAATACAGACCTCCCTCCCTTCTGCTTTGAAGATAATGCAAAGGCTTTGAATGAATCAGGTGGCTTATACGACAATGACTGCCTCTCTCAGAATCCACCCCTGCCCTTGCTTCTGAAGACTGGACTAATTATCAGGATCATATTGTAGCACAACCTGGCTGGATCTGCCTGACACACACTAGCAGGAGCTGATAAGGTATACATGGAACTGGGCCCTGAGGGGAATGGATCAAAGAGGTAGAACATGAAGTTGGAGTGCTCTCCCAGAATACAGAACCCCAAACCCTAGCAAGGACCCTGGCAGGTGCTACTAACACTGGGAGAATAACTCTTTGAAGCTTACAGAACATCATAGCCCATTAAGTGAGGTAGAAGTGCCAGAACTTCCATGGTAACTTGTGGATGGAAAGACCAAGGGGCTCAAAAAAGCAGATATGGAGGTTGGCAGTTTGGTGCATCAGCCTGATCTTCCGCCCCATGGTGCTAGCATCCACATGAGCGCTGGTTCATGTCCTGGCTGTTTTTATGTCCTGACTGTTTCGCTTCCAATTCAGCTCTCTGCTTATGGTTTGGAAAAGCATGGATGATGGCTCAATTCTTTGGGCCCCTGTACCCACGTTGGAGACCAAGGAGAAGTTCCTGGCTCCCAGTTTTGGATCAGCTCAAGTTTGGCCACTGTGGTCATTTGGGAAGTGAACCAGTGGATATAAGACCCTCTCTCTCTACTTCTCCTTCCCTCTGTAAAGTTTGCCTTTCAAATGAAAATAAATAAATATTCTCTTTTTAAAAGCAGACATGTTAAGCAGATTTACTACTCAAGTCTGGAAGACCTACCAGCTGATTATATTTTATGAAAAGGCCCAAAGGACATACTAAACTTTAAAAACAATACGGGGTATGCTGACAAGAGTGGTTATCAGCCATGGTGAGACACACAGTAGCACTATGTCCTGGCCCAAACACCCACCCAGTTGTCACTTCCCCAATTCATAACTGGAAAGTTGTAGCTGTCAAAACCCTTACATGGGGGTTCCTTAGCCTGTGCATGAAGAACTATGACAGTAGGAAGTTCAATGGAAACTTCTTAAATGGTAGCGCACTGTGTCCCAACCAAAACAGTAAACCAAAATCATTATTGTATGCATCCCAGGGTAATGGTGAAAATCAGTGCCACTTTGAAATATTTAAAGAACGCCGAGGGTTTTGATCTCATCTTACACTTGTTGAATTAACCAGCTTGGCTACTGAGCAGGTTGGATTAGATCCTGCATAATGCCTGTAGACTATTACAAGTACAACCAAATATAGAAGTACCCTTATTTGCAATTACCATGTCGAATATGTCATCACCGCTGCAGCACAGTAGCAAGACCTCAGGTATAGCAGATGCTACTGCTTGATGAATGGGTTGTGAACTATTCTGATGACAAATAGGAACCACTTGTGTTTACACTCATGTGGACTGATAACAGTATTACTGATGGTCTTTCCACAGAGCT